ACTTTCAGTTAACAGATTTAAATATTTTAGATTCTTAGCAAAGCGAGGAATCAATTATGTTTACTTTTTTTCTTATTATTTTTTCTGTGAACAACTTTTTTACCAACTATTTTGTTCAAATTTACAATAATAGCACTTTTTCTGGAAGAAAATCTTACAGGCGTAGTACATAAGGGAGGTAATTTTTCTATTACCTCAGGAGTTTTCCGAATAAATGGGAAAAACGTAGGAAAATGGGTACAATATTAAACAAATATTATTAAAGAAAAAGTATAATTATTTTACTATAATATGACATATGAGGGCTAATCAAAAAGTATCGAGACTGATAATATTACTTGGAAACCGAGCGTTGAAGAGCAAAACGAATTGTAAACCTTGCTTCTATGACTTATACTGAGCACATCTATTCGTATAAAATCTCTATAAACTTCTTCGTTTTGATTTGACGATATTTTTCTAAAATTTGTTTTTCACGTTTGGCGANCCCTCTGAAACTGGAAAAAAATGCACACAAATTTCCTAAAATCTCCTAATTTGTCAAGTTACTCTTCTTTTGGGTTTATTACAAAATCGCCAAACTCGAAAAATATATTTTACAAAAATATCAGTGAAATCAAACCGAAGAATTTTATAGAGAAGCAATAAAAACAAATGTACTCAGAAAAAGTCATAGAAGCAAGTGATACCAATCCTACTGCTCTTCGATGCTCTTTTTCCGAATGATACTATCAGTCTTGATATTTTTTGATTAGCCCTCGTATACATTGTTGACAAAGCAACACTATTAACTGAACTCCACACAGAATCATTTTTCTATAGCAATGGTTAATCGTTGCGTACAGATATACATTTAATTTCCCCTCTACCTTCTCAACTACTCACTTACAACCTACCCACTTGCGAAGTATACCCGTATTTTTATTATTTTCCTGCACACTGACTATATTAATATCACTATATTCTTATCACTAATAAAGACCGTTAACTATTTTATAATATTACTGCTGTATAACTAGTCAACTTATAGGTAGTTTTCTATAATTTATTTTATTTTTAACAAAGATACGTGGCCGCTGAAAACGATGAACCCAAAGAAGTGGTACTTGATGAAAGTGATGAACTGTGGGTAAAGTTTAGACACGAGCACATAGGTGTCGTTACAAGGTGTGGTATTAGGGCATTATAATATAATTTATACGATAAATGAATAGTCGTTTTAAAAACGATTTTCTTTTGCAGGAACGTAACAAGCGATTTAAAGAAATTCATTGACAGTAATCGGGTATCATCAGCCGTTCGCGATAGTCATTCGACATTGCGTGACTTTTCTAAAGCAATTAAAGCGATTCCTCAGTACAAAAAAGAACTGAGCACTCATTGCACTCACTTAAACATGGTTCAATATTGTGCCGAAAAATATAAAGATGGCATGAGCAGGCTTTGTAAAGTCGAACAGGAACTAGCTTTGGGCACAAACGTGACAGGAGAGAAGGTCGATGACCATATGAAAGACATCGCACCGATACTGTTGGATAAAATGGTTTCCAACTATGACAAGGTCAGGATCATCTTGTTATATGTGTTGTCTAAGAATGGAATATCGGATGAGAGTTTTAACAAAATGGTCAAAACTGCGCAATTGTCTCCAGCTGACAAACGAGCCATCGTCAATTTGACTTTACTTGGCTTTAACGTTGTCGATAACGTAAGCAGATTATGTATTATAACTACTCATAATTCATAAATATTTTTATCTTTTCAGTGGCGTCATTTCAATATTTGTTAGACTTTGAGAATCACTTACTGATTTACCGATTTTTATCATACTGACTCACATATCATTTAGGAGACGAAGGGTTAAATATTCAGATAAAAGTATAAAAACCAATATTTTTCTACACGTTTGTAATCCCTGTTGTGAACACAAATTGTGTAGGTGTTAATCACATTTTCGGGGATCTTTATTTATTTATAGATACAATTCGTATTTTATTTAACTATTAAATTGTTAAATACATTATTGTATAAATATTATTATAATGTAGGTAAAAGAGACTCAGAGACTCAGAGTTCTCCTCGATGTAGATACTTCATACATTTTAACTATCAAAATGTCAAATAATAATGTATACATTAATAAATTGTATTATAGAATGTAACTAAACCTCTTATAATACGTATTTGTATGTTCATTTTGTAATAATATTACATTTAATCACTCATGTAGAAAATAATAAGTTATGGGTGCCTAACCAAAATAAAATAAAAGTAACAAATATAGTTACTGGTCCGTGCCCTTTTTTTTTCGAACACATGTAATGTATACTGCCAAGTTATGAACGATGGTCAAGTTAGAATTAAGCAGACTGATTGAAGCTAAAATCTTTTGAAGTTCGGATATTATGTGTGTTATGTTAAGTAAATCGGTATTGCTAGTTATTTCAGTATGTTTGTCATAGTCTAATGGTGATACTCATCTGTTATCAATATAGAGATTCTCAAGTTTGAACCCGGTTTCTGAAAAATTATTAACACTTTTTACAATATTTTAGATGTTTTGAATAGTACCTCATACAATATAATAATAACCTTTTGAAGATAATAGGGTAAAAACAAATGAATTTGTAAGAAAAGCAATGTTTAATAATTCTTATTGTTTGGGGTAGCAATAAAAACAAGTAAAACAGCGTTTTCAGTAATTTACAATGGGGAGGGGGGAGGATTTATGAATTTCTAGAAAAATATGTAAGGAACTATCTGCGTATACTCCCCTGGTTATGATATTTAATATAATTTTTTATAATTATAATATAAAAAAAATAACTATACAAAATTGAATGCACTAAAATTTTGTAAAATGTAAAATCTAATTTTTAAGGCCTTTTTGCTAGATCATCTGCCATTCCCTCAGCTGTTAATAGAACCCTTTCACAAATGGCTAACATTGTAAGCCCATTGAGTCAGGACTAAATAGATACACTTTAATACTATTAAGAAATTTAACCATATTTTCTGTTTCTGAGTTAAATTCAAAAGAGGTATTTCTGTCATTGTACTTTGCAAATAACTTTTGAGTCTTTAAAGATACGAAAAAGTTCTCTCTGAAGTTGCAGTAGAAACTGGTAGAGTACACCGTATTTTTAACAGGTGATAGATATTTGGAAACATTTTTTACATAGTAATAATGCTTCTAATGCATTTTGTATGCTATAATTTTAATTCAGCTTTTACAATTTCTTTATTACAATCAAGGTAAAACGACCAGTTCATCAAATTTTTTAGAATACATTATGGAAAATAAATACCCTGTTCCTTAGAAAATATAAATACATTTTAAATACTACACGTAAATTAATGTAATTGATAAATATTAAATAATGTATATACCAACAAATTATTAACTTTTAAATTATTGTGATTTAAAAGCTTTCATTTAATTGTTGTGTAATTGATTCAATAAATGGTATGGCCACAAATATATGATTACATGAACACAGGTTAGCTCGATTTTTATTTATTTTATTCACATGTTTAAATAAAAACCTTATGCTATCTCAGCCATTTTCTAAAAATATAAAATTGTGTATGTTAATAACTAGCGCTGTGAATTAATGGAGTGAAAATTCTTAAAAATGCAAAAAATATGCATTTAAAATCTCAAAAAATGCAATATAAAAAGCACTTAAAATGGTCTTTAATTTAATTTTTATATTTATTTTGATATTACTGATATAAGTATATTATACACATATAAATTAATTTATTTAATAAAAAAAATTATAAAAATACTGATCGAATTTGAATGTTGAATAAGTTGATTTCTGTAATATTGTCTTATTTTCTCGAATCCTTATCTTTACCTAACCTGTATACAGCCTGTGTAAAATATAATTTTATAAAATAAAAATTTGACTTACATACAGTCTGTGTAAGACCAAAAAAATATGTGTGTAAAGATATTAATTGTTGCAATTTGATTAAAAATACGGGAAAATGAACAATATAATTTAAAAAGTCCAAAAAATGACTAAAAATTAAAAACGTCAATAAATTTAAAAAAATGTAAAATAAAAGTTTCACAAATGAATTTGTTATTACATAATTCAAATTGGGTAATTAGAAAGCTACGTTCACAATCAGCTAAAAAAATGCACTTTCCTTCAAATCCGCAGCCCTGTTAATTACTTATATTATATATTTATGGCAAACGGTTAAACAATAACATATCACAATCTTTACTTCAGCGTCTTTGAACATTTTACTGAATTTTTCTTCTATATCATCACATAATTGTTTAATACTCACAACACTAATTTCAGTTAAGTCCACTGTTTTCTTTAAATCAATTTTAACTTTTTGTAAAAGTTTACAGAGAGGCAAACTATGTGAAAATAATACCTAATTAATCAAATAAAAATTGAAGCTTAAGATAAAAAAAAATTGAATTATAATTATAATCATAATTATAACTTGTAAGGATACAACAAATTCAGAATCTATTACTTTTGCCAGGATATTAACATCAGTAGGTGCAGAATCTATCCAATCAGATATTTTATCAAGTGCACCAACACAGAGAAATTATTCCACTAAGTCATGAACCGCTGTATATCTTTCCATCCACCTTGTAGCTCATAGGCGTTTTAAAAATTTTTCAGTAGGATTCAAGTCACTTTCAACAATTTCATTTTAGTGTGTTGAAAAAACAGTACATTTTTTTAATAACCCTTAAACAGTTTCTAATAGACTATATGTCATAAACAGAAGAAATTGTAAGATTTAATGAATGGGCGTCACAGTAAATATATAAAGCCTTGAGGAAGTTTTTAGATATAATTGTTGCTCCTTTAAGATGTCCTACCATTTTTGCTGCCCTGTCATAACTTTGACTATATATATTACAACAATTTATTCCACAAGAATTCAAACCTGTGTAAACAAAAAAATTATAATAATTGTAAATAGAAAAATCATTTAATAGGTACCTGTCCAAAAAATCAATTACACTTGGTTTGTTGGTTAAAAATAGTTTTAAGGAATGTTTAATTTAATTAAAGATGTTCTATGATATTCAAGTTTACTGTGATTTTCAAACACCTGAAAAACAAAAATTACTTTTTATACTTTAGGTAGATAGTCAAAAAAAAAAAAAAAAAATCAATAATTATCTATACAATAGTAGTAATATTTTTTAATAAAAGCATTAAAAATAATAGTAATTACTTCTAAACCTTTTTACTAGTTCTGATATGTAATCAATACAAGCCATTTAATTTCTAAGATCCAACACCACCAACTTTATTAAATACCACTGAGTACTTATAAAATGCACCTTCAAATTTTGTTCGAATAACATAACCAACAATAAGACTCAAGCCAACAATACTGAAATTTCAGATTTCTTTTTTAGTTCATTATTAATATTGGAAATTCATAATTTACTGGTAGTGACCATCAGTTATTTAGAACCTTACAAAAAATAAAATTTAAATTAAGTTAAAATGTAATAACATTTATTTGATCAAAATATTAATGTTATAGATTATATATTATGTGAAAAACTATCAAAGGCAAAATGTACTCACAATGTTTTTTTCAACATCTAACAAGCTTCGATTCGTAAACAAACCTATATCATGCTTTGACATCAACAGGTACAATCTAACTGAAATAAAGAAAAGCAAAGCACAAGAAAAATACCTATAGTCGTTGGAGTAACCAAAATGTCTAATGCCCGTGGAAAAATAACCAAATAGGGGGCCAAATGCGCAATCCGAGTTTGGGACCAATTTTATCAAATTGGAGGAAAAAAAGGACGTTGCCTGTTTTCATACACCTATTTGCACATCTCATATTACATCCTAGTAATCAAAAAAGTTCATCAGCTGTTTTTTTTTTTTTGTCATTCACTAAATATAATGCTTGAAGTCCTTATTTGGGGCCCCTTAATATTATAGGTCCGTAGCTCATTGCCAGTTATGCCCCTTTATCAGAACGCCACTGTCTAGAGTTAAAAGCTTAAAGCATATATGTTTTGAAACTATTTTATCTAAATAATAAAGCAATTTAAAATACTCTGTAGTTAAATCAAATATCAACAATATGATACCTATTTACAACAAATATAAAATTAAAAATAGCATTTTACTTTTCAGCACTGACCTTTTCTGAATTTTGGCCATATTTGTCACTCAATACTTGACCAATGATACACTATACACAAATATTATTAGCATAGTACAAAAGTTCATTATGTAGGTAGGTATCCTTTATCTTAAGGTTAAAAATGTTAAAATACTTACTTTTCTGAAATATCACTGCAGCCTACACACGGTACATGCGAGTTCTAAAATATAAACAAAATATTGTTATATTTTAAGCCAAAAAAATTGTATGTTAAATAAAATAATATTAACTATATTACTTACCTACCCAGTGCTCGAATTGATAAAATAAAAGAAGGAGGACTATAAAAAATAAATTAGTGTCCCTTGTAATTATTGAACTCAACTCAACCCGTGGATGGCTTAGCTCTCCAATACCCCCACACCAATTTTCAAACATATTCAGTAATTCATATTCTCGAAACAAACACTACCTACTGCAGGTTATATTTTGCTTACATAGTAGATATTATTTATTCGTGACTTTAATATCATGGTTACTACTATGATTCTATTATGATGATATATTTGTTCTTTCTTTGTATGCAAACAACTATTCTACCAAAATTCTTGCTCCAATTATTAATTTTAGAGGCTTTGATTCCTAGTAAAAATTGTTGTTTCGTTGGTGCAATAAGGATGTGTTTTTTTTCGATTTTATTTATAATGTTCTTAATTATGAGGAAACCCCTAGAAAAAATGCTGGGAAAACTTGTAACTAATATATATACTGCTTATGTTTTATTCTATTTTGTTTATTTAATGAAAAATAACCGTAGAGGTCAAAAATTCCAATAAATACTTGTATAGGTATAGTCTTTTATATATATACAGCTATCTTTCCAGACATGGTACAGTTTTCAAATTATTCTGGCAATTTTTCAGTTTTACGAAAAAAATTCAACGAGATGTAGTGATTTGTTTTATAAGTGCTTTAAGTTCAAATTTCAATAAAAATATATTTTAATACAAATGCAAACTATATTCCATATTTTTACGATAATAGGCAGTGCCGGATCCTAGGATTGTTCAAATGAGGCGGATTTTATTAAAAAAAACATAACATATTATATTAAGTAAATAATTATAAGATAATACAAGTATTAGATAAAAAAAAAAATGGCCCAAAGAGGAGTGATTGCCATGGCACCCTACTTGTATCCTCCATGATATGCGTTCCACTTCAAACAAATAGTAAGGGTACGCTTACATTTTTGAAAAATTAATTTAGGTACTCCGTCACCCTGCAGCCCTCTCAATTCGATTACTGTACCCACCACATTTGATTTTTTGTTGTAGTATGAGAACAATATATTTTTTCTTCTATCTCCCATTTTATTATTAAGTTATATAATTTTAAATTTTGAGCGGAGCGAAGAAGCTTATGGTTTTACAAAGATGTTAATTTTTTTTATCGGTGCCCAACTTTTTACTAGAAATCTTGAAATTTTTGATTTCCGTCGATCTATTGATGAGATGTTCCATTTTTAAGTTTGGATGGGAGGAAAGTATGGTGTATCATTCAAAAAGAAATCAAAAATTTCAACACTAAAATTTGTTTTAACAAATACTCCATCTATGTATGGACTTTTTAATATATGTTGCTATTTGAAAATCAAAAACAGGTAGTGGTTTTACCCCCCAAAATAAGGGTGACAAATAATAACATAAATATAAAACTGTAGAGCAGCTTGTTTTTTAAATATTCTAGAAAACAAATTCCGGGAAAAGTTAATACTTTCAGAGATAATGAGTGTATCCACTTACATGGATCCTCCGGTACTTTAAGGAGTTCATTTTTCGATTTTTCCAAGTTTATCAGTGCTTACAGATATACATTAAATTAACTATAACAGTGGCTGCACCCGTGCCCATTATCCTAGGACGTACGTATTTTTAATTTCAAAAATATAAAATTAATACAAATAGCTGATAGGTACTGTGTAAAAATAAGTCTAGTAACAAGTAACAAAAAAAAAAAAAATGTCTTATTATTATATTATAATTATATTCTATATATTTTATGCTACGTACATTTATGTTATCGTCACAGTTATTTATTTAATTGATAAGGTTCACTCAGCGTTGATAACCGCACTAAACAATATCCATAGATAAAAAACTTTTACCACATAATTATATGTAAGAAAAATCAATAAAAATCAATGAGTTATCAATATAATGTATTCAGAAAATTATTATAATAACTTATCAATAACTTTTTGATGTGAGAAATATATTTATATTGTAATTTTAAATATAAACTGTACAATGCGACAATGAATTTTCATATCCCTCACAAATTTAAAACGAATTGATTGCAAAAAAAAAACTGTCAATGAGCCGGAGGGGTTAAATCCATAGATAAGATAGATAGGATATGTGTATACTATTGAATTATATACTATGGAAGGCGTATAATGCATATTTGCATATAATAAAAGTGAGCGGCCTAATAGGCCACTGTGATTCCGTTTTAATTATTTCCGATATCATACGTACCATGACTAACTTCATTTAGTGGTTTTTGATGATGGCTTCTGACTTCAGGCGCATAGTGTAAAGTATTTAGGATACTGTGGCGGGCATACCAATTTTTTTTGTTTTATTATCTTTTATCACTGGTTACAAAAAATTAACATTAACAATATGAAGTCAGAAACCAACATCGAAAATCACTAAATAAAGTTAGTCACGGTACGTATGATATCGGAAATAATTGAAACGGAATCACAGTGGCGGCCTTTCATATCACTCAATTTATTTACACTATGCGCCTTCCATAGTATATAGTTCAGTGGTCTGTACTAGTTATATAGCGAGCAGCGTTCCCTAAAGTTTAAACTACTGAAGTAAAATTAACATCAATATACCTAATAGTATTTTAGTCTTACTAAATATATTATATTGGTGTCCTCAGTGAAATGTTTTTTTTTTGTGGATTTAAAAATGTGGATGATTAAAGTTTCATTTCATGTAGGATAATTTGAAAAGTTATGGAGTGAAAAATCTTTTGCTGAGTGAGACAGAAGAACAAGGAACGTCTGATAACCAATATGACCTATCTATTATATATTATTTATCGTTAAATTCCACGATCCCCCCCCCACCCGTGAGTACGCCCATTGTAAAACATTATAAAAAGTGCAAAGAAAGTAATTTAGATAAATGAGGTTCGAGAAATGAGGACTTCTGGGATAATACTAATATTGTGTATCGATGATATGCATCATCAATACACTATAGCTCAGGAGTCATAATAATGAACAATACGTGAAAGAAGCACTATTGAATTATTTAACAGAACACATATAATATCCGAACTTCGAAAGTCTATAACTTCGAAACTAAGTCAGTCTGCTCAATTATGACTTCACCGTCGTTCTTAACTCAGCAATATACTTACATAATATTATGTTATTAAAAAAAAAAAGTAAAACAATTGTCATGAATCAGTAACTAGATTTAAACCAAAATGAAAACGTTTTTGAATACGTTGGTTATCTAGGTATTCGTATTCTGGTTAGTAGGCAGTTACTGAATCACCAAAACATGAATTTGTAAATTAAGTTACCTACCTACTGAAATAGTTGATAGCATTATCACACTCAAGTAATAAAATACAATTAAAAATATCAATTTTTTTTTTATTTTCATGTTTTTCATATTAATATTATAATTTGTTATACCTAGTTATTACTTTATTAACTATTAGTAATAACTAATAATTAATAACTTATTACGTAATTATCTACCTATTAATAATTATGATGGGTATAATAGAAACTAAATAATCTGATGATACTAATAAAACAATTATAAATAAAGCCTTAAAAATAAGACTTTTTATAATTTTTAAATGTACTAACTTAAGATTAAAATAAATATCTAGTAAATTGGTACAAATGCACCAGTTACTTCCAAATGACACCACTGTGCCTCGTGGTTTTTGATAAGTACCTAATCATTATTATTTGTTCTTTCTACAGGCTAAAATCAAAAAACCCTGTTTAAATAAAATTATACTACGCGGAGAACGTCATCGTGATAGCATTGAGATTGGAGATATCGGAGATACATACGAGTTTTCTCGTTGGATTCCCGTTGTCAAATATATAATGGAAGATTGTATTGGAAACAAATTGGATCCTAAGCGTTTTCCTTTTGTGACTCCACGAACTATTATAACAGAACCGCCGCCAATTAGGTATATTATAATATTATATAACATGCAATGTCGTTATTAACCAATAAATTCTGGTGAAGGCTTGAGTCTAAAATGGAGCTCTACCTCTACATTCAAAGGGATTCAGACGTTCTAGAGGGCCTAAACTTCTAATTGGATTACAATTCTTCTCTGGATACATGTTACTTATCTTCAGAACTAAGTTGTGGTAGGGGGATTCGAATAAACGGACATTCTCCTTGAAAAAATTCCATTTGTGCCATAAGTTACATATTACAAATGATGACCAATATTTTAGATTCTAAATGGAGCGAAGAAGCTTATAGTTTTACAAAGATGTTTATTTTTTATTTATTTTTTTTTTGTTCTGTGGACAACTTTTCTACCAGTGCTCTTGCTCCGATTTTTATGTGTAGCACCTTTTCTGAAAGGAAATCAGTGTGGGGTTGTAAGGAGATACTTTGGGGAAGTCATTTATCGATTTTCTTAAGAGTTTTCTCATCTAAAACGAAAAACTGAATAAAAAAACTGAAGAAAAACGAGAAATTATTCGAAATATATTAGTGTATTAGTATATTATGATTTATGGCCTTCATTTTTCCTATGGACAACTTTTCTATCAGCAATTTCGCTCCTACTTATAATGATGGCGATTTTTCTTAAAGTAAATTTTACCGGGGAGGTACTTGAGAAAGGTCATTGTTCTCTTTACTTAGGAATTTTCTCAAAAAATGTAAAAAACCGGAAAAAACTGAGGAAAAACGGCATCCATTTTATTTTTAAAATTGGAATAACTAGAATTTTACCATAATATAACATATATATTGTTAACAAAGCACCATTATCAACTTAACTCTGCTCAGAATCGTTTTTTCGTTAGCAATGATTAATCGTTGCTTACAGGTGTACAATACATTGCTTATAACAATGATTCCATTATCCTAGGATATAATTTTCGTCCAATTGATTAATTAACCACGTTTAAAAAATATATTGTTGGACTGAAAAATGTTATCTAAATATGTTGATTTTAAATTTTTAAAATTTGTTTAGTAATACATAAAGTTATTTAGGTAGAAAAAATTGAATATATCCAGTAACGCAGGTTTTTTTTCGGGAGGAGTTTTTTTATATTGTTTATAATAACTTCCTACAGAGGGGATAATAGTACATATTATCAGTACCTACAGTATCACTATCAATATTATTACAGAATAAATGATATTTGATGAAATTAAATTTTATTTTATTCTGTAGTACAAGATATTATGTTGTTGAATATAAAACTTGATTTAAAATAATTTTACTAAGGAAGACGATTTCGGTAGGAAAGTTGAATCTTTAACTCCCCTCTGTATGTGTCACTGAATATACCATTAAAACAATAGAAAAAATTATAATCCTATAAAGACGAATACAATTTCAATATTTGCTTTAGCTCTTTCGCTTAAACTTAATAATATTTTGCGAACACGATTAATGATATCTTTAAATATGATTGCAAACTACACATTGGTAATAAATCTGGTGCAGGGGCGGACTGGTTAGGTTAGGTTTTGATAGCTGTGCTAGTGTGCCGTAGCACATAGGGCCGGCTCAATATATGGGTGAGCAGCTGAACATTTGACGATATTACTAATAAATGTATTTTAAATACTAAACAGGTAAAAAACCATTGCTATTGATAGGTACGATAAGTTCATAATCAAAATATAGTTTATAATAATAATATGCATAGTTGGTACTATGTTGTGTATTGTATTGTAATTGAATTGGGATTGGAAGCGACGAGTTTCCGTCTTGTCTTATACACGTGAGTTATAGGGATTTAGACGTGTTCTAATTCCAACGTAACGATTAATCTTGTAAAAAGATAAGAATTCTGGAATCAGATTTGAATTTGTCGTAAAGTCTACTTGAGATCGACTTTCCCACTTTTATATCGTTATTTTCTAAAACAAGGCATACTAACAAACGAGTAATTGAAATCACTAAATCAATCAGTACGATGGAAATAAAACACGTCTAAATCCCGTGTGTAAGACAAAGATAGAAACTAGTCGCTTCCAATCTCCTTAATTACGGATTTATCCATCATTTATATATAAATTATTCCATGATAAATGAAAATTATTGAAATGTGATAAAATGACCAATAGAAATATTATAGAATAGTGGTCTTCAACCTTTTTGGATTCACGACCCACTTTTTTAGACCTACATTTTTTGCGTCCTACTTAAGCTTTGTAAAAAAGCTAAAATTGCTTAATACTTTGTAGTAGTACTATTTAAGCTGAATAAATAAAAATTACATTTTAGTAGGTAAAATATTTAATTATTATTAATTGAAAATGTATAGAATTTTTATGAAAATATAAAATAAAATAAAAAAATTAATGCAAGCTTTGTCCTTGAGTGTTTTCATATAATAAATTCCACCTTGGCTCAATTTGACTAAGCGCGATCCGTAAATCATCTTCAGTTTCAAGTTTATTTCTTTGAGACGTCTTCAAATTTGCCATAGTAGAAAACGCTTTTTCGCATAAATAAGTCTTTTTAATTTTGATGGTTTTAAACTTTTATTTGCGAGCAATTCTCCACTACATATTATGGTTGAACTAAATTTTTATTATTTCCTATATTAAAAGTACAAAATCCAAATTTTAAATAATTTTTATCATACCTTCAATCAATAAATTCGGATTTCTTTCTTTTGCGGGAGTTTTCCTCTACGTTTGAAGTTGAAGGTACCCATGATAACGTTGCCAAGTCTTCATGTGTATTAATTTGACCACTTTTCCGAATAACAAATTTATCCATTTTATTAAATAATTTACTTTATTAAATAACGAAAAAATATTAACGCAAAGTTGGCGAAATAAACGAAAAATACTTTTTAACGGACACGTAAATACGACTAGAATAATAAAGCGACTAACATTTATCGTCTTTAAACACAGCAACAATATCGATGATATTCGTAGATTACTCTAACGATAACAATGTATATTAATTCTATTAATAGCACAGTTTATTCGTAAATTATTATATTCAATAATATTAAATCAATATCTTACTACGTAGAATAATACCAGCATAATATGACGCATTATACTGTGATTTGATATCTATTATAATATTATATTATAGACTAAATTATATAATAATGTTGATACATAACGCACTACAAAATTTTTAAACTGTATTTTCATTTATTAATTTTCCAAGTTTAATAATTAAAAATTATTTTTTTACCTTATATAATTTTATAAATTTTATTTTTATTTTAAAAAGAAGACTAACCGCGACCCACCGGTTGAAGACCACTGCCTTAGATCATACCTAGTATATCATCTAAAGTACCTACCAAAGTATCATGGTTAGGATCATAGAGTAAATACCCTATGGTTAGGTTATGATATGGCATGGTGGAAAACGCTAAGAATGTTATTACTTTATAATAGATATTGTTAATTGTTATCTATCTCCGTACCGAAATAGAATTGAAATTGATACGTTTGAACGTTCGTTTCACGTTTATAAAAAGGTTATAATATTTATAATTATTACCTTAAATCGTGGCTTATGATTGATATCGATGAAAATAAATTTTACATCATTATTTAGGTACAGATATATATTTTAAATGTTTTGATTTACTTAATAAAAAATTGTTTAATAGGTATTAAACACCTAGGTGTCTATAAATTTAATTTCTGCGTTCATATCTAACTGTGTTTTATCTGTATATTACACTGAAACATTGATCAGAATAGTTGTATTAAAGAAATTATTTATCATGTCTTTAAGATTCAGTACATCCATCACTTTATACAATAAACTCGAAGTACCTCAGACTTCTACTACGTAGTAGAGTAACTTAACAGCTTTTTTTATTTTGCTCTAATCATAAATACAACTACAACGACTAGGGGGTTTAGCTCTCAAATTTACTTATAGCCACCTCAAAATAAATAATACTTTATATATTCTTGAATTGAACAAAAAATAAGTACAACAAGTAAGTTTGAACAAGTATACTAACCTAAGTACAAGTTGCTATGGCATTGCCAATTTCCTCTGCAACATCAGAACGTACATTTTAAAATTACTCATATAGATCTTACACTAATAGTTAATTGCTTTAATGTAGGTACTAATATGATAAGTACACTTTCAGTTATTTTCAATAATGGACCTCCACAGCTATATTGTGAAGCCAACATCATTTTTACTCATGATGGTTTGATACAATAAAAAGTATAATAATGTGTTTGATATTCTTTAATATTTGTCAAAGGTTTTTATTAATACTAAGTATAATATTTTGTCAGGAATGACTGATCATAATTAAAAAAAATTAAAATTGCTAATTCCTAAAACTTTAATTTTTTTTTATTTTCAGTGCCCGCTTCAGTGGTGGCGCCTCAAATAAAAAAAAAGAGAATAAACAGCTGAACGAGAGACTACCAAAACTAATTGTCTTTATAATTGGTGGAATGACATATTCTGAAATGAAGTGTGCCTACGAAGTAACAAATAGCACAAAGAACTGGGAGGTTATAATAGGTGAGATTTTTTTTACAATTGCTCTGAATGATTATAACATAATTACATTATAGAATTATAATTATTATTATTTTTTAAACAGGTTCATCGTGCATTATCACCCCGAAAGACTTTATTGAAAACTTGTCAAATATAAGTCAATAAAGACTGTTTAATTATCATTCTAACTACTATCAATTTCTATTTAACATACCTAGTACCTACTATAATACACATATAATATATTTGCTTGAGTTATTAATAAAAAACAAAAAATTATATTAAACTCTAATTTCTTTAAATATATATTATAGAATATAGACTGAAAACCTATTAAGTATTTTATACAGTTTACTAAAAACACAATTTCAAGTAACTTCAAATATTTTTAAATTTCGTTTCAACAATTATAGAAGAGAAATTATTATAGACATAATATAGTCAACTGGCATAATTTTATTTATATTATATTTAAACATTATTAATTACATTAGAAATAACTAGTGCAACTGAAAGCTTTAAATTTTGTACGTAACCAGATTGCTTCAAAAAATATCATCGAGTTTTGAAAGTATAAAATAAAAATGTATAATTATGGATCTAGTGTTTTAATAATACCAATTGCTGATATTATTCAATTTAATAAAAATCCTACAGTCGTATCTGATTAAAAAATTATTCTTATTAAATTTCAAAAATTAATGTTGGTTATGAAATATTAATTAATTAGTTAGGGGTAAATACCATTAGAATAAATATATATACACTATTCAATAAATCTATAAAATAATATTTAGTTTTGATGTTATTTTATTAGTACTAAGTTCTTTTTGTTTGTTAAATTACATCAGTTTAATAAAACATTTTTAAGTTGTTAAGACTATTAAGAGTGCACAACATAGTTTTTTTTAAATATTGAAGTAAAATTGTAGATGTAATTATGCACATATACATGTAATATATTAGTTTATAAATAGAAAGGTATTGTTAAAATTAAATGGGTATAATATATCGAAATAATACATTCTACAGTTTATAATAAATAAATATTAGTTGGAAAAAAAAGTTACTTATAATTGTATTACTTATTTGTTAAAAACATTTTGTTTTAAATAAAAATAACTTATACTATTATATAGATCTTGATTTTATGTTGTTTTTGGTATCTTTTGTCATTCTCTTGGTGATGCTGTAGTGTTTTGTAAAATGCTGAATAAAAATACATTTAAAATTATATTTTATTAACTTATATACCTTTTATTAATAATGCAAAATGTTTGAAAATTATCTTTTGATAACATACTCAAAACATGAGCATTATTCAGCATTTTTAAATTACTTATTACTTAAGCATATCCACACCAAATAAACATGTGTTCCTAAAATTGATTTGTAATTTTAAATGCTTCCTTAATTGTAAAAATCAGCTGTGATTAGCTAAGCTAAGTAGTGTGTGAATCTAAAATAACTTAAAACTGCTCATATATGAGCCTTTACTGTAGATAGAAAATTGATAAGGTAAGAAACATACGAGGAAATTTATTTTCAATTCTGATTGCAAAAATAAATTATAGCAAACTGAAAATAATTCTAATAACTCTTTTAAACATTTGTTTATCAATTTAAATTTAAAGTTTTTTAATTTTTAACTACAAATAAATTTATAATTTTTATCAGTTAGATTAAATTTTCTATCACAAACCATCCGTCTTTATGACATACATCAATGCTTCTCAACCATTTTATAATGGCCGCCCCCCTAAGAAGCAAAATATTTTTCAACGCCCCCTTCACTTCATTAAAATAAAAATAAAAATAATATACATGAAAAGTTTAATATTGAATAATTAATAAATATAATATATTTATATACAAATGTGAATATAATGAAAATAAAATGTAAAATTTATGTTTAAATATAATTTAAGAGGATAATTAAAATGTTTTTAAATGTATTGATCTGTGACATGGTTGTGCTTGGTGATCCAAAGCCAATTTTTTTTACATTTGGTTTAAAGTTTGTGAGATGAAGGTGTAAGTCGATATGACATAGTGACTGCACTAAATCCTCGCTCAACGAGGTAAGAGGAAGGGAAGGCAATTAATAATTTTTGAAGGACAGTCCATAGCCCAGGATAAATTTGACTAATAGTAGACTGGAGCCAAAATTCTGTGAGGTTTTCACCATTCTTAAAACTTGCTTTTAACATCTCATTAGTGGAAATTTTCGATCAATTCTTCTTGATACTGTAGTTTTGCTGATTCATTTGCTTGAAAAGCAAATGAATTTGACGCCCTGGTATGTGTAGCTTATATTTCATAATTTCTTTTTTTGTTAGAAGAATAGTATAATATTTATTTTATTAACTTAAACACTGATGATTTAACTCAAAGTTATTTTAGTCATTTTAATAATTTAAATCTATAATGGATGAATTTGATAGATTAAATTTAAATATTGATAACCTTAATTGGCATAATTTTTTAAGTTCTAGTGGCAATAATAAATAGTATGTTACTAATTTATGAATACTATTGAGGTGTGATCTTGGCACCAAAAAATCAAAATTATGTCTCTAAACTATTTCCATTTTATTGTAATCATTTGTAATCACAAATTCGAAATATGTACATTATAATTTATAATATAAATAATATACAGATTGATATAAAAAAATTTCATCGAAATTATAATTATTGTAAAAGCTTATAATGTTTTTTAATTATATGAGTAAAGTAATATTACCTTTTTTAGATGGTTTTATCAATAATAAAAATTGTATAGTAAAAAAAATATATTTTCAAAATTCTTTTAGAGTAGTCAAATTATTTTTAAAATATTTTTATAGATTTTTTTCAAAGGTTACAAACGTCCAATTTGTGGAACCAAGTGATTAGAAAAAAATGACATCAGTTTAAGTCTATAGAATGAATTTTGAACTTTGCTAACATCAAGACAAGTCCCTATACTATTTAGTTATTTATAAATAAGGCTACTAGAAAAATACAAGGAAGGTTTAGTTACTGCAATCAAAAACATAGACCATAGATTACAAGAGGCATTATTTTTTATGAGAGAACCTAAAGAAAAGTTATATGACTAAAAAAATATAAAATATAATTTAATCTACTAAAAGGTATTTATAAAAATTAACTTTTTCTTTGATATACTACCTATAAACACCGTTTAAACCAAAAATAGCTACAGAAATACTTGACAAACTATATTTAGAAAAGGTACAGGGCATCAATAGTTTTCTAGCTATTAATATTAAATTTTTTTTTTCAATTGGTTTGTCTTCGAGGGAGAGATTGATTTGAAGAAAAATTAAAGTTTTATTTTTATCCCCTAAACATACACATACAAAATAATATTTATTCACTTTAGAAAATTTTCAAAATGGTCATTTTGTAAAAAATATTATTCTAAAAATTTTAATGTATCATACTTTTATATTAACAGTTTCTTAATTATATACAGTTTATATTCTAGAAAATAGGCGTAAAAACAATTAATATTCAATAGAAGGTAAAGAATTATTGTGCTGATTGTAATTCCTTATTGTATAACGTGTTATTTTATTGAATATTAATTGTTTTCACATCTAATTAAAATTGCTATATTTCAGAAATTATTCATTGGATATGAATATGTGATATATTAAATTTTTTTGAATAATATTTTTTACATAATTACTAATTTGAAAATTCTTATTTTTTTTTTGTCTTTAGTGGATGAAAATAATAATTTAATTTTTCTCCAAATCGATGACCCCTTTGAAGACTTAGGCCTTGTTTACACGTGATGAGTACTCAGCTGTGTCACTCGTTATGTTGCTCGGTCTAGTGCTCAGAGTGAAGCATTGTATTTGCTTGGCCGAGTGACTAACTACTACTAACTGAACTACTCGTTACACGACACTCGGCTAGCGGTTTAGACACACCGAGTACCATACATCTTGGTAGTGGAGGTAGTCACTCGGCCCAGCGAATAGAAACTGTTTCTATTTACTCGCCCGCTTATTTTACTCGTCTGATTACTAAGCCGAGTACTGGTTCCTTGAGTTCACACGGGATAGTGTTTGGCCGAGTTGACTCACTAGGCCCAGTACTCCTCACGTGTATAAACAAGGCATAACCGATTGAAGAAAAAAAAAATTAATATGAACAGTGCAAGAAAAATCTGTTGAACATAGTGGGACACACTGTAATATATTCACAAATGTGTATTATTATTGTTAAATTAGCAAATGGTTTATCTAAACACTGATCCTAGATATATAAATTATTATACTTAGTTAAATAATATTTCAGCCAAGCATCCAGAACTCTGACCAGGACTATACAACTCTGACCATAAAGGACAATTGACCAGGCAATTTCAAAACTGAAGCAAGTCACTGCAAGTTATAAATAATTGATAATTCTTAATTGAGTTCATTACCTTAGACAGTACAAAATAAAGTAATTTACTTATGATAATAATATAAATTATAATTTATATGAACTCAATTTCATTATTGTAATAATTGTACATACATCAGAGATAATTTGAATTACAAGTTGCATAGGTTGTTCTTGTGCTTTTTTCAGTGGAAGTAATTCTGGTTGTTCATCAATTATTTCTGCTAGTTTAATATTACCATAAAAGCTAGCATTGAATACACAGTCATGAAGATGGCCCACCTACTTTCTCTCAAATCAATCTAACTCATATCATAATTTAACAAATAATTAGTAAGAATTAGCAGATAGGTTTTGGGTTTTTTGATAATAATTGTATTTTCTAATTTAATTTATAAATTAGAATTATATTTATCATTGCAACAAACATACGATTAAATTAATGATAATAGCTGTTATGAATTTTAAAAATAATTGATAATCAGAAATATATGAGATGGAGTTATTAGAGTCCAAGGGAGGATAAAATAATTTGAAATATCATAATTACATTTTCTCCATAAATCTAACAATGATAAGGTAACAAACAAGCTATTTTTAAAGTTTATTAAATTTTCAGTTGTTGCCATGAACAATAGAAGACACCACCTTTACATAAAAATAATGACTTGCTAATTTTAAAACCTAATTTGCTAATTATTTACTAAATGTTGATGTGTGTTAAACTGATATGAGAGAAAGTGGGTGGGCAATCTTCACAAATATATTGAATACTAGAATAATGAATACTACACTTGTCTGAATTCATTTTTCATTTGATCTTCAAGCAATCTTTTTTCTGGACAGTTCCTTGAAAATTAAGATTAAAACATTATTATAGTTATAGGTACATTACAGATATTAATTAGATCAAACAGATTATAACATAATAATACATAACAAATTATAATATTACAATACCATTTTATCAATAAATGAGTCAAAAATAAACAACACATTTTTCATTTCTCGATCAGGAAATTGCAAATGTGATTTAATTCTTGAGTCAATTTCAAAGATATTGTTTTACTTTATACAAGTTTATTCTAAGTATGTTATTTGTTTAGCATGTGACCTACCTACCAACCAACATAATCTATCCATATTTTGATATTAAAATGAAAAATAAACATTGTTGTAAAACCAATACTCAGAATCTAACATATACATTTACTATATAAAACATATAACTTTCAAAAATAAATTGTCATTTTTAAATTTTTGTCTTGTGATTTTTCAAGATGCTAATGGATACTATTAAAATGTTATATATACTAAATTTTAGTAATTGTTTAATGAATATTTTAAGGAAAATAATAATAAGAAATAGTGAGCTCCCATGACACTTTAAAAAACCTTCAACAGGTTATGAACAGAATAATATTATTGGTAAATACATAAAAGGTAGTATAATGTATGAGTAAAAACTAGTTATTAAAGACTGAAAATTGCATGGAATAGTCATTAAAAAAAGGTCTGTTAAAATATTCAAATTTTATACAGAAAAATAAATAAATTTTGGTGAAATTGCAAAAGTTATTTGTATTGAAGTGATTTCAATTCATATCTTATTGCACTTTATGTTTATCGCTTTTATCACTATTGTAGCATAAGGTTTAAAACACTCATGATTAACTGGTTCAATTATTGTACTTTACATCATTTGAATTTAACACCAATATTTAACTAATAATAATTTGTTTAATAAATAATATATAGATACAAGGTGCAGCAGAAAGAACTCTGTAGTTTTATAAAGTTTTAGTTTGGGTTTGGGTGGAGGTACATTAGTGATATTTACATCGACAGAAAGTCCTATCGATGCCATTTTTAGCATTCATCATGGCTTGGTCAGGAGAATATCATGCGTTTGTTATCGAGGAATTTAATTAATAATGACGGTTCACCGATAATGGTATTGATAAGAGGTATTGATTTTATAATGCTGTTTATTTCTTTTTCTTTTTTCTTTGTTCTTTGTTCTAGTTTGTGGACACGTTATTTCCTAATGAACTTGCTCGGATTTTTACGTGTGGCAACATTTCTAAAAATTCAAGTTATATATATATATATTGTACATTAAAAAAATAATTTTTTTAAATTTTTGACGCCATTTTTTTAAATAAAAGCACTTAAGTGGGAAAAAACGATAATGACCCAGCGTGCATTTCGTATTCGGTTCGCACTTAATCGACGTGATCCTGTTCCCGATAGCAAAACCATACATAATTGGGTATTCAATTTTAGGCAAACAAGTTCTGCAATAAAAAGAAAATTGACGGGCCGACCTCGGACTGCAACAGGTCCAGAAAATGTGGCTACTGTAACAGTGACCTCTAATCGATATTGTGAGATACTTGAACATTTTCTTCGGCCTAAATTATACGATTTTTTTCATGAGTATGGACAATGAAATGTGTGGTTTCAACAAGATGGTGCAACAGCATCATACAGATCGTCCACAAACTTTGGAAGCACTGAAGGAGGTAATAACTCAGGGAATTTCTGCTATCCCGCCCGAAATGACCCATAGTCATAGAAAATTACCGAGAAAGGCTCAATCAGTGTATCGAAAATGAGGGCCACCACTTAAGTAATATAATTTTTAAAAATAATTAATATAAAGTGGCATTTTATGTACAATTTATAAATAAATTTTTTTTTTTTGATATTTGACTTGGTTTGGTTTTTATAAGTTTCCTTAATTAGGGAGTTCTTTTTGTCGCACCCTGTATATATATAACAAGTAAAAGTAAAACATGTGAAATAAAATACACAAAATTAAATTTTTCCTCACTTCATCTATAAAGTTCATTCAATTATAAGACTCACTTTGGGACCAATACAAAGTGAGTCTTATAAGCAGGGCCTACTGTATTTATAATAAAATTATAAAAATAAGCCGAAATTGTAGGGTAAATAGGTCACATATTAAACTGAAATAATTCAGGTAGGTCACATACCAAACTCAATTTTCTTTCGGTAATTCGTTACTAAATAAATACCCAAAAAACTATTATGAGGTTATAGTTTTTTTTTTATATACATAACTATGCTGTTAAATGCTTTAATAGCATACCTTTAAATGGAAGTATAAACTTACTTAGTTTTTTTGGAGCCACTAGTACTTCAAGTTCCATCATATTGTTTCACTTATTTGTCTAAAATGGTTGTGTGTGTTTAGATAACTACAAAAATCACTATATGTAAAATTTGTTAAGAAAATATTATCAAATTATAGGTACTTACTTCTTACCATTGATAATAACTGATGGTCACAAATGTAATAAACCCTCAAAATAGAATACATGAATAATTCCACCATTGAAAAGGAAGTAATTTGTATCAATGAAAATAAGGATGACAGGAATGTGTATCAAATAAAGTTGTATATTGTAAAGATGTGATCATCCAAAATTAGTTGCAATATCAAATATTTTTGGATGTACATGTCTTCAAGAATAAATCATATATATCCTCTGTCCTAGTTTTACATTTTCATAAAGATGCTGAAAATAACACACATATTTGTTAAACATAATTGCAACACAACCTCAACTTATCTGTCAATTGTAGCTTTGAAAACTACAAGAATTAAATTGATTTTTCCACTTTAATATTGGTACTTTACATATGGCAGTCACGCCAATTTGACATAAAAGGCTATTTTTGTTTTTCTATATTAAATAATATTATTTTAATAAAAATCCTCATTTCTGTTTAATATAGCATTAGACAAAGTAGTGAGAGTACTGCTGCACACTGAGGAAGGAGGTGTGTTAATCAACAACAGAACATTAAGGCTGTTCAGCTTTGCAGATAATTTGAACATTATAAGAGAGACACTGGAAGATATAGGCCATGCAGCGAGTTCTGGAAATAGAGGCAGAACAGTAAGATCGGGCTAGATAAAACAAAAATAATGGAGCTTATAAATAGTGCAGTAGACCTAAAGGATAGCGAAGGACTGGCTTACAAAAGGTAGATGTTTTCAAATATTTAGGCGCAACGTTAAACACAAGAAACGAATGATCAAAAAAAATTGACATTGGCTTGAATAATGTCGAAAAAATGTTCTATGTCCTTGCGAAATTTCTCAACTCCAAAATGTTGTCAAGAAGAACAAAAGCCAAACTATATGTAGTTATAATAAGGTCAACTCTAACATCTATGGATGTGAGGCATGGATAACAACTAGCACTATGAAAGAAAGCAAAGGAAATTTGCAAATAAAGTATGGAGTAAAATTTGTGGACCCATATTAGATAGCTACATGGGAAAATGACGAAGGAGATACAGAAGAGAGTTACAGGATATATTGTAAATAGGAACGATAACTAATTTTATCAAAGGTCAGAGGTTACAATAGCTTGGACATATCATGCGTCGAGAAGAAAATTAGTCACTAAGAGCGGCCCTTGAATAATAACCATGGAAAAGACCATGAGGCAGACCAAGAAAGAAATGGCTGGATGGAGTAGAGGAAGACTTGGTGAGGATGGATATTGGAAAGATATAGTACATGACAGGGAAAGAGTGCGCGTTAATGTGGTGGCGGCCAAAACTCTCAGAGAGTAGGTACTCCAAGGAAAAAAGAAGAATAATATTTTAAATATTTGGGACAAACTGTTTATCTGTATCATATTGTATATTAAGTATGCAATATATCATTTTGTTTATTTGTCTAAATTGTAATATGTGTTTAAATAACCATAAAATTACCATAAAAAACTGAGTAATAAAATTATACATGTCCCTACTTACTTTTTTGTTGTACTTGTCTACCATACTCTGAACTCTCAAGCAATTGACTTTTGAACATTAGGACATCCTTTTCTTACTGTCTTGTCATTGTGACAATCACACTTTTGTTTATTGAGAGCTTGAAAAAACCTGTAGATGAAGATTATCTGGAAATTATGATATTATCAAAGAATAGAGATTTACTTATTGATAACAACTGAAGTCGGAAATAATTATTGAATAAGTTACTATTTAGTGATTTAAGTCAAAGAAATCTACAAAATAGAATAGCGTAGAATAACAGAGATAGTGTATCAAATATAATTGTACGTAGATGTGATTATCAAAAATTAGTTGCAATATTAGTTACCGGTTATAGCTCTAGTCTTCCAGTACAAATCAGATATAACATCTTTCCTGGTTTTACATTTTTCATAATGCTGAAAATAACAATCACACATATTTTATTAAACATAATTGCAACAACTTAAATTTATGTGGCTATTGTGATTATGAAAATTACAGGAATTAAATTTATTCTTATTTTTCACTTTATTATTAGGCCTCCACAAATGGCAGCTATGCTTAATTGGTCCATTTTTTCGTAATAAACATATTTCAGATTCAGATTCGTCTGTATCAGATTGCATTATTGACATTTCCAATCACAATAGTTACGGCTCATAATATAAGTCAATGTAGACATTTCTGCATGAAAAACTCAATATGAATTATTTGCTTTGAGGATCTGAAACAATATTCAAAATTAAAAAGGTGGACCCATACCATGTTGATGGAGCAATACTGGTATACGTTTTAATTTCTTAAATTATTAATATGAATGAAAAATGGAAACTGCGGATTAAAGGAAATTAATTCAATTTACAAATTTAATTTTAATATAGTTACACTTACTTTGAAGTACCTATGTAATTAGTTGATAATCGTGAGTTCGGGACCACAGTAGTTGTAAACAAGGTTTATGGATTGTACTCTATCTATTGTTGTTACCGCGATCGTGTTGTATACTGATAAGGAATCAAAATATTTATTCTGCTGCGAACAAATAGTGAAACTTGTACCACGGTTTCAGAGTTCATAACAAATGGCCGCATACCGTTTTAAAAATAGATAGCGCTGCAAGTAACATAAATTATAAATTGAATAGATAATCAACAATATAATGCTTAAACAAGAAATAACTTATTATTTATTAACATCGAATAATGGCTATTGACTATGACCATGATAGGTTTATGAAAGTTTTTTTTTTCGTAGTAGCAGGTATTTAGGTTTTGAATAAAGTTACAAATTATTAATTAATAATGCGTGAATGGGCTAACACTATTAAAATTAAACAGAATTTCGTTGACGAAAAAATACCGTCATTGGATACAGAACTCGGTACATTTACACAATTAATCGTTGCGAGTAACGTAACAATTGAAAATTAACCTTTATTAAGATGAAATGTTATGTCCAAAGAAGTAAAGTAGATATCAAGAATTACGTACCTTTGTCGTTTGTTCGAAAGACGATAACAGCCGCTGTTAAACGCAGGGGCGTATGTAAGGGATGGCGATAGGGGCGACCGGCCCACCGGTCAACGTTGAGTTTTATTCACGTTCAAGTGCTTACTTGTTCTATTATTATTAATCAAACATTTGAAAAAAAAATTCATTTTTTTTTCTCGTACGGAAAAATGGTTATCGAAAATTTGTTGAGAGATTATAGACATTTTGGCTATTATCAGCACGTATTATTTACCTATTGTTGGTTATAGTCGCAACTCCGGACAACATGATAATATTACTGTTATAAAAATATGATTATCGTTACAATGGTCATTTCAAAATTGACGGTATTACAACAATAAACGTAATAACATAACAGAATTATTGCGATTGATAAATGTAATATACATTTCCCACAAAAACGGTCTTAACTTTTGATACGTTTCATCAAAACGATATGTTTCCCACGAAAAAGGAAATAATTTGAGTTACGTCTTTAAAATTTCTAAAATAACAGGACGAAACTCAAGAGCTAAGGTTAACAAAAGAAAATAATTTGAAAAAAAATATGAACACTTTTCGCATGACGGGCGGGCCACTGTTGCAGGTGAGATTGGTTGGGTGAATAGGATATTGAGGGGAATTTAATGTAATTTTGTACGCAACGCTTAATCATTATTGCTAACGAAAAATGATTCTGAGCGGATTTCGGTTATACATGTTTTAAAAGGTAAAATTTACGGTTTCGTAAAATTTGATATTAAAATTCCCATAAAACAAATTCTACATTACACTCAATGTTTTTTAGATCACAAATTACGGCTTATAATTCACCTTCTGTTAAATTGTTAAGTATTTCTGTTTGGTCAAACAATTTTGTCCATAGATACCTACCGAATAAAAATAACGTAAAAAACTCGCAAAATTCAACTGTCTATAGGTTAAAAAGGTCAAAAATGGCAAAAATATTTTTAAAATTTTAATACATCTAGAATATAAGTTTTGTGTACAAATTTAATGTTTCTACAAATATTTTTAAATGAATCGTAACAAAAAAACAAAATTGAAAATAATACATTTCGTAAATTTTCCCATTTTTCTGTAAGTTTTTTCCCAAATTATTATTGATTTTTCTAATGCGACAGGTTAAAACTATTTGCGCTCGTTACTATTCTACCAGTCGTGTAATAATCATCTTTGCTGGACAATTACGTTTAATACAGCGCCAACGAATTGCGCCAGTTGTAATATTTTCCGAACCAAAATTATACTTGTAGTTATCAAAATCAATCATCTGTTCCCCTATTTTACTTTTTAAAAACAAAGCCATTTTAAGTTCAAGTTGACTCTATTCAAATAAATTATAACTCGATTATACTTGACCAAGTTGTCTGATATATCGGCACGACCACGGTATTGTAATTTTAAATTATCTGATTTATCGGTAGAATTACGGTGCAGTATGATTTAATTTAGAATCCGGATTTCCTATATTAGCTAAACGCATTTTATTGTTGACGACTCGTATCAACAGACTCGTGGACGGTGGTAACCAAAATGTTTTTTCGTTTACGATGAATAACATTACTTTGGGTTCAACCAAATCGTTCTTTTTTGAGTTTGGGCAATTAAGGTCATTTGGGCGAAAACCAAAAGGTCGATTTTAGGCGAAAACATGTGTGCTAAGCAATGGTTTATCGCAGGTATACATTAAATTACCTATAACAGTGGCTGCAACCGTCCCCAATATCCTAGGACGTCTTTTTATTGTTTTGGTATATTATTTTTGGGCATGGCAAACTCCTACAAAAGTAGGTAATCTCCTGCATTGACATAGTGTAAACTCCTACAAAAGATAGTTGTAAAGATGTAAAATGTAAAATAAGGTATGTTAAAATAAGTAAAAATCAGTCATAAACTACAAAAATATTTGTTGTACTTCCAATTTACGGAAATAACGTAGACGTTATCGAAATGTTCGAGAATTTCTGATACGATGCCTTATGTTAATATGTTTAGTAAATTTTATTTTAAATTGTACTATATTATATTCGTAAATCTCTACGAATATGTATCCAAAATGCAACAAAAAAATGTATTTTATCATGTTCTATTGTAGAACTATTTCTGGTATAAAATGTCGTGCGTGTTTATTTAAAATAATGAAATCGCAAAACCGTACGGTTCTCCCCACTTAAGTACAATTATCTCATGTAAACATTATTGTAAAAACAACATACATTCCTTCCTACACTCGGAATCTAAAATGTAAAAAGGTCCGTGTAGAAGATTACACAATTTATTTTTGGCAGGTAAAAAGGGACTATGTAGGAGTTTACACTATGTTTTGAATACAGGTAAAAAGATCATTTTTGTAGCCGTAGTCGATGCGGGTAATGAACGCAATATTTTAATAAAAAAAAAAAGACCAAGGAGGATTTGTCGCCAATATCACCCCTACCTCACTCCCTCACGATAACGCGAAGAGTAGTCGTGTAGTTGTCCAGCGTAATCTATAAACGTCAGTCGGCTTCCGCGTATCAAAGTACTGCAAATGAAACCGTTATTGGATAATTTTGTAATTATTTTATTACCTAACTTGTTCCGCCTATCAGCTGTCCGCAACAAGTTAAACCGAATAATATATATGTATAGAGAGAGATGACGATGAGATACCGGAAGCTCGTCGTCTAGAGGGGAGAAAATATCTATTTTGTGCTCCAAAATCTTGACGTTTGCCTATAGGTACTCACCCCTCTGAACATAATATGTATTTGTCGGATAAAGGAATTGGAAGCCGCAATTTTCTATCCTTGTCTTACACACGTGCTACATAAGCATTCTGATAATTTATTACTATTTTTTTAGATTCTGAGCAAATGCATTAGTTTTATAATGATGGTTTTTTTTTTTTTAAGTCTGTAAACAACTTTTCTACCAGAAATCTTGCTCCGATTTTAAACCTTTTCTGAAAGGAAACTTTATCCGGGCGGTAGAATAACGGGGAAATTTACGTAGTATTTTTATTTTCAATTTTGGTTTTTTGTTGTTTTTCTTCCTATGCTACAGGTTACGCATAGATAGCCGGTACATTTATAACATTTAATTAAAAAACTGTACACATTCCCCGATGCGACGGTTACGCGTATGGTTCTGAAAGAGTGAGAAAAAAAAAATCTTTAAAACAGGATTTGTAAAATATACGAATATAATCTCGTCGACAGTTTGTGCGCACGGGAAAATGAAAGAACGAACACCGTAGCCGCAGAGTGCGCGGTTGTATATTATATGCGCCGACGTAAATATAGCCATATTACTACGAGTGTAACGTACACTATACCTAAACCATCGCCTTTCAGCAAACACGATTATCTGACATGTGGCGCGTTATTACAATGTACAATTTAAAAAACAATAAAAATGCAGCGAGTAATATACAGAAAAAAATCAAATACCACTCACCCCGTCGTACCACCGGTGCCGTCGACTCAAGTGACATACCACCCGACCCTTCGTTGCGGGTAGTGCAGGCCGCTGCTTCTGTTAACAGATTATTGTTATTGTTTTTTTTTTTTTTGTGAAAGTCTGTTCAGCCGCCGCCGATACAATTATAAAATAATAGAGCGTACTTGAAATTAAAACGGAAAGAAATAATGTACGATAAGAGGACTTAAAAGAACGACCGGTGAAGAAAAAAAAAAAAAAACCATCGGGCGTACAGCGTTGTTCGAAAATGACAACATGCTGAGATCGATTAATGACGGCCGCGGCGGTGGCGGCGAGTTTATTGCTAACACACAATACCGTTCAATATTTGCGGTAAAATAGTTTTGTACAGACATGAGCGATTTCGCTTAAAACCGCCGTCGACAGGCCCACGATGACTATGACTATTGACGTATTATTATAATTGCGCGTTATTAGTATTGTTACGTTGGAATAATATTGTCGTCGAATTCAATTCAAACATCGGTTGCAGTCCGAAATCCGGGTTTTCGGATAATCCGGACCACTAATCGCATCAACAATTGGCATATGGGTAACCATTGCTGTGGCCAGGATTTGTTTCGTGGCGGCTTCGGTTTTTGATGGCTAAACAATTGTGTGAAAGAAAAAGTTTCGTACCGCACTGCTGACAATGCCGTGCGATGATGCTTACATAATAGGTTGGATAAGGTACAGCAATACGATTCACCAAAAAACAACGCGTTCGCGTCTCGCAACTTTTAGCAAACCCATCACGGAGATGAGACTTTCAAAATGATATTCTCTCACACAAATTTGACCGTAACGATATTATGCTAGTAGGGTTTCGAAACAAACTACTCTCC